TGTTAAGAGTAGCCGACATTTTCTTTTACTTCTTGGACATACTGTAGATGTCCTGCGTGCGTCAGTGGAGCGGATGAGTCAGTGCGAGAGAAACGCCAGCAAATTGGTGGTGCAATTGCTTTCGTTGATAAAACGAAGAATTTCACCCCTCCCTATCCGCACTACCTCTTTAGGCTAAACAAATCCCCCGGGGTTTGTGTTTAAACACATCCATCTCCGTCTGTCACTTGTGCGTCCTCAGAATGTTGGCCTAAATCGATTACCGGTCCTTCGCTGCGGGCTCCTGTAATTAATTACGCGTCTGTAATCAGGTTATAGAGGTTATAATCCGGTGCTAAGTCTGTTTCATAAACGCTGCCATTTCACAAGATTTGTGGTGTTGGTCGGAGGAGGCAGAATTATTGTAAGCTCATTCATTAAAAGTGTGTTTGTTTGTTTTTGGGGTTTTTTTTGACTGCTTCTCTCAGGAGGATTCGAGAATTTCCACTCTCAATACCCTGAACTTTGCACTGAGGTGAAAACCATTGACCAGAGCGGAAGTGAAACCGAGAAAAGAGTCAGCAACCACAGCGAGAAGCTTTCACACCACAAACCAGATTATGATCAGGTATGGAAACACCCTTTAGCGTACAATGCAGTACTTCCCACCATCTCTCCTACAGGACCACGGGGCACAAAGCCACTGCCAGTTTTTTTTTGTTTTTTTTTTAATCTAAAAAGATACATACACACAGGCACGCTCAAGGCATGCTGACATCAGAGAATTTTATTTTTGGCACATCAAAACATTTTCTCAACTTACATATGATATTATATGACCTTCGCTGCTCCCCGGTCTTTTTATAAAGACAGCATGATGCCCAGCTGATATCAGGACACCCCATAGAAAAGACAGCCTTTCATCCCTGACCTTTCTGCTATTATTTCCACTGACCAAATAGAAAACATGTGGCTAGTTTAGATTTCAAAGAACACTGTTGTGCCTGGTTGATGCATTATGGGCTCTTTCAATACCGGGGAATTCCTCTAGCATCCTGCCTCCATTTTGTCTGCAAATGACTGTAATGATCGGCTGGCAGGTGTTTGGATGTTCCTGCTTGGACAATGGTTGTGTCATAGCAGATGGATAAATCTGGCGATCGAAGCTGTGTGTCGTGAGCTTGACTCATGTCTCCGCTTTCTCCCTCTTTTCCTTCCTCAGGGTAAACCAGTAGAGATCCTGCCTTTCCTCTACCTCGGTAGTGCCTACCATGCCTCCAGACAGGATTATCTCAGCGACCTTCACATCACAGCCTTGCTCAACGTGTCACGCAGGGACCTGCAGCCGGCCAAGGGCCACTATGACTACAAGTGGATCCCTGTGGAGGACAGCCACATGGCCGACATCAGCTCCCACTTCCAGGAGGCAATAGACTTTATAGGTGAGTTGAGGAGAGTAAATGCATTTAACTGTTGATTTCTGCTTCACAGGGTTTGCCTTGAGATGTTTTGCTATCTTAGAATACGGCTGACTCACTAATGCTCAAACCAGCTAGGAAAGGGAATAAATAGACCAACATTAGATGGATGCTTTTCCGGCCACAAGATCAGCGTCGGTCTATATGTATTTATAATCCAGCTTCACCCTAAGGAGTCTCAAAAATACCCACGCTGAGTGAGCGAGATATCTATACATGGATGCATTTATTTTTGAAATGCGTCTTTGTCTTCAAATAGCCTCCCTTTATCGGTGCCGCTCACCTGCTGCCATTCACAAATAGAGGGCTATAAGAAACCCGGCTGTAATCAGTTTAAGTTAATCGCCAGCCTTCAATCCCCCACCAGCATATACTGCCTGTCTGCTTTCATTCAGGATTTGCTCACTTCCCCCGTTCCCTTCCGACCTCCCCCCCTTCTTTCCTTGAAAAAGACAATCCCATGCTGGCCAAATCACATGGTGCCGGGTGTGGCCAGTCAGTGTGACAACTGGGTGAGCTGTACGTGTTTAGTAATGACCGGGTGTAGGAGGCTGGGGGCTGGCTGGCACACACACATACGTGCATGCATGCATAACAGCATTGTTTATGATGGTTGGGTGGAGGATTAATGACAGCTACACAATGAGGGAGGACATCAGTTTTTTTGTTAGCAAGAGGGACTCATTGGTGGACCTGTGGCCAGCAGGGCAGCAAATGTGTTACAGAGGAAAAGAGAGTGCGTGGGAGGGAGAGAGGTGTCGGATAATAGCAGCAACAGCAAAAGATGTACAAAATGTGCTGGCGGCTATTTATATCCAGGCATAACCAAGGACAAAGCTTACCCACAAGCAGCTTGGCTGACCTGTATTAGCTGGATAGTATTGTGCATTGTTTGGGGATGCAGCCTACATTTAGGGTGTGTTTAAATATCTTGCCCATTACATAAGGCAGTTTTAGCCTACATTCAAAGAGGGCCTCAACATTTCATCAGGCACGCTAACTGATTAGACACGGAGTACAAACAGATCCTCTGGGCTGCTGGTCTCATAAAATCAATCAATAAATCGGAAACCCTTCCGACCAAGCGGGTGATGTAAACCAGAGAGGAGAAAATAAATATTATTGACCTCGTGCATGAAAACAGCAGTTGAAGCATGCCATGACATCTCCAGCCAAAGGACGGTAATTAAAACACTCACTGCTGCTGCCCCGCTCTCATAGCACCCTCCTCTCCAGATGAAGGTTCATTATTCATTCATGTGGTTTTATCGGGAATCAGAGCAGTCAGAAATCAGTCATTCTCCTTCATAAACGCACAGAAGTGGCCCTTAATGTTTCTGCTTAGTGGACGAGGTGATGTGTAGGTGTCGTTACCGGCTCGTGGAACTAAGTGTCAATATGTAGATCAGACTTAGATGCGAGACAGAAAAGAAGACATGTGGGTGTTTGCTTCTAAGAATTCTTGAAACGTGTTGCGAAGGACATTTAGACAGATGTGTGAAAGTGAACTCGTGTGTAGGCCTTAAAACATACTGAGGAGTGTGTAGGAGCGAGGCGGCTCCAAATTAGAATACACTTCTCTCTGCTACAGCGAACACCACATCAGCACCCAGCACCCCCACAGTGGTGCAGCAGAAAACAAATCACATGTACAGCTGCACTCTGTGACTAAGTCAAGCCTCCCACGTGCCACTTACAGTAGCAAATGACGTGTGCTCATTTCTTTCTACAAAATAAATGTGGCAAACTAGATGTTCATGAGAAAGAAAGAGAGATAAAATATTTGGGGAAAAGTGTTCCTATAATATAGTGAGAGTGATCGAATAGACAATAATAGCCCAGTTAAATTTCTTTCCTGTTCCAAACTCCTGATTTGAAATCAGTTTGATGTGTGGTTTTCTTATGCTGATGATTAAAGAAAGAGAAATATGTCACTGTCTCACCAGATTCCTCCCTTTTTCTTCCAGATCATGTGAAGCAATCAGGGGGGAAGGTCCTGGTACACTGCGAAGCAGGCATCTCTCGCTCACCTACCATCTGCATGGCCTACATCATGAGGACCCAGCAGCTGCGGCTTGATGCAGCCTTCGACATCATCAAGCAGCGCCGGGCAGTCATCTCACCAAACTTCAGTTTCATGGGTCAGCTGCTTCAGTTTGAGTCCGAGGTGCTGTCCAATGCACCGGCTCATGCTGCCACACCTGAACCGGCCACGCCCTGTGTCTCGGAGTCCGCTTCCTTTTTTGCCAATGACTTTGCCACTACCTTCAACACCAAAAACTTTGAGCCGTCTGTGTTCACCCTCCCTACCTCTTGCCTGCAGTCCCCAGTCCACCACCAGTTCAAACTGAGCCCAATAACTGCACTGCCTTAAAATAAACTGTGACTGCTTGTAGTCTTACTTGAAAATATAAAAATCAACGCTCTCTCTGTGTGCCTCCGGCAGATCAGATAGACTGGAGATCAGCCACAGACACAAAGAAGAGTCAAAGACAACTGTATTCATAATAGGACTTGAAGCCTATGAAATCCATGGGCTACAGACACTGATGCTTTTTTCCTGTCTTCTGAAATAACACAGCACAGTGATAAACTGCAATATACATGCCTTAGGTTGATATTGTGATTCATTTGCCTACTCACAAACATGGTCAGGCATTTAAACCTAATTTATTTGAAAATGATGGTCCGTTTTTTCAATAATGTGGATACAAATATGTGTTTAATAAATGTTTTCACTGCAAAAAACATTGTTGCCGTGTAATCTTTTATTGTGCATGTGGCAAATGCCCTTTTTCATTCAAGCCAACATAAACATGTTCATAAAAACAAGACAAAGGAATGACCAATATTTATGGGTTTAGATAATAAATCCTGTCTAGACAGGCATAAATGCAGCAGTAGAGGCAATAGTGACACCTACAGTGGCTTAGAGCTGGCCCTTGTGACTAGAGGTATATTTAGATCAGAAGCCTTGCATGTCTTTCGTACCTATAGTCGCCTTCCACACAGCCGTATTTTTTATGCATAATCTATGAAAGCGATGAAACTTGTCGCTTTCATAGAAAACTTAAACCAATTTTAATCAGAATTTTGAGACATCAACTACTAGAAAATAATTACAGTCAAAATTCCTGGTAGAAAACTGTCTGCACTGTTATTTAAAGACACTATAAATAATTTTGATAATCATTAATACAACAATGTTGATCATTATTACCACAGTCATTATGATGATTTTTTTTTTTTTTTTTTACCGCTTTTAGTCTTATATTTCCCAATGCTGCTCATCAAAACAATTTTGGCGCCCAGAGCGCAGACTGCTAGACTGTACCAACTAAACAAAAAGAAAGGCGAATAAACAGCAATAATAAAAGACCTAATGTTATGTCACAAACGTAACCCAACCGTAGATACACATTATATTATTGTTATATTTGAATTTTTACCTTTCATATGAATTATTTAGCTTCCCCACATGTAGGAATATAGTGCAAGTATATCCCTACAACCCAGTTTCACAAAATGGTATCATCCATTCTATCCCGCCCCCGCCGCCATTTTCCATGTTATTCTTTCCTGCCTTACAGTATTTTATGATTTTTAATGCAACAGTTTGATTGTTAAGTTTGGATTATTATAGTCGTGGTTTCTCCAGCTTGGCGCAGGGAGTGTTTCATCTCCAAATTTGCAGAGGGGACGCCCTGGATAAGCAGCCATGTATATTAAACAGGTAAGCTAACGAGACCAGACTGATGCGTGTTGCCGACTGTTACTGGTCTAATAACAAGATTTAGGCCAGCTTAACGTTTTTCCACTGAATGATAAATATATAGCTATCGAGGCTTCACTCAAAGTATAACGTTGATTGGATTGCAAAACTGCACAGGCACTCCATAAACGGCAAACGTTGTGTAGCTATCTAGCTAACGTTAGCTAGCGCTATTTGAATTAGTGTAGAAGTGAATTGCCTGTCCCCTCTCGAGATGCTAAGCTAACGCAACTAGGCCAGGCTCAGGTTTTCGGATTTATATGCTTCTTTTCATTGTTGTTATAACGTTTAATGTTGCATATGATGCAGAATACGAGAGTTTATTGTATAGTTGTCGGCTAACTCGGCATTGTTGAGTTCAAACCTTCAAAAATGTCCTGAATGAAAGTAGCGGTAGACCATCAGAGTGACCATCAGCCAAGGCCCTGTTGCCTCGTTTTACCTGTGATGGTGCTATTCAGCATAAACAGTTTACACACCCTATGTTTACAAATATTCATAGACCCAGGAGCTCTTTGACCATGTTTAACTGTAGCATGTGGTTAAAATATTGCACTGAAACAGCTGATGTTGTTGTCGGTGTGTTCACGGTGGTCTCTGGTTCCCTGTGCAGGTGATCATTCAGGGGTTCCGAAGTTACAGGGACCAAACTGTGGTAGACCCTTTTAGCCCAAAGCACAATGTCATCGGTATGTGTTCATCCACATCTTTCCATAATTATTTTGTATTGCACCTGAGTTGCTAATCAGGTTTTTCGGATACTTTATGTACTGTATGTCACCATATCCTCATTTTGTGTTTATTTTTCCCTTCGTCTTACAGTTGGGAGGAATGGATCAGGAAAAAGTAACTTTTTCTATGGTATGAAGCCTCAAAACTTGCTGCAATATAGAATTCAAACATTTAGACTTCTAAGACTTTAACTCCCGTTCTCTCTCTCTTTTTTTTTTTTTAAGCCATCCAGTTTGTGCTCAGTGATGAATTCAGCCACCTGCGACCTGAACAACGCTTGGCCCTGCTCCATGTAAGTACAGGAAAATGTACTGGGAACATGAGCCTTTAGTGGGAAGCTATGAATGCAAGTATCCTTGCTAAATAACAGATTACTCTCAATCAAAATCTTTGCATTTTTCTACCTGTGCCAATTGGCAAAAATGTTTTTTGTTTTGTTTTGTTTTTTTAATTAACTTTTATCACAGTGTGAGTGATTTTGCTTTAGCTTTGACTAAAACCTCTTTTGGTAGATGCCAAAACCTCGTTGTGTAAAAATCTCTCTCTCCCTGTCACTGTAGGAGGGAACTGGTCCACGTGTCATTTCGGCTTTTGTGGAGATTATATTTGACAACTCTGACAACCGACTGCCGGTAGGAATGGCAAACATTTCAAATTTATTCTATTACTGTATTTTCTGCTTGATTCCATTGTGATATTATTTAAAAATTTCCATAGGCCTCTCAAGGAATGTGTGTGTATGTGTTAAATAAATGGTCACTGAGCAGCTTGTGGCTAAACGTGTATGATCATATAGCCTCTTTTCAGTGCTGATATTTGTTTCACAATTAAATTTGCATTATTGTTTACATTGGTTTGTATCAAAGTAAACCTCAAAATAAAAAAAGGAAAACACAATAAACTAAAATCCAAAAAACCAGCAACATCAACCCTTTTATGCTTTCTTTTGTAACAAGACTCTTAATCTTGGGTATTAAAATGGTGAACATCCTTATTCCAATTTAAGTTGTTCATTTCATATTGAATATTGAAGTCTCTCCTGGTGATGACTGTTATGAAGACCACTGATTGCACTGCGTTGCCTTCAGTACACACAGTCCTTCTTATTCTGATGATGAAGGCCGGATGTCTGTGAAATGTTGCAGCCTGGTGATACTGTGGCATAACCTGCCAATTATCGTCCTCTGTGTGACCCTCAGCTTGCCCAGTGATAAATGCATCTCTTTCTAGATTGACAAAGAGGAAGTCTCCCTTCGTCGTGTCATTGGAGCAAAGAAGGACCAGTACTTTTTAGACAAGAAGATGGTGACGTAAGTATTGCGAGGGATCAGCTGTCCATGTTAAATTTGCCAAAGGCCAATACTACATGTGCGATTCCATCTATTCTATGCACTCTTCTTGTTGCAGTAAGAATGATGTCATGAACCTTTTGGAGAGTGCTGGCTTCTCTCGGAGTAACCCCTACTACATTGTCAAGCAGGGAAAGGTGAGAGACGAGTGCAGTGCCAAGCCTAATTTAATGCACAGTAGTTTTTGGTGATGTGAAATGAATTTCATTCTTCAAGCAGTGGTCATTGGGTGGGTAGTTCTAGTCGAACAGACAGTAAACCAGTGTTGTCCTCACTATTTATTTACCTTAGTAGTCTGTTTTCCAAAAACTAAGAGTATTAGTAGACTAAATAATTGATGTTAATTTAAAAATATATATATAATCATTAATTAATTATAATCATTATCATTTGTTTTCTGATAGGAATATCTCAGAGGTACACCAGATATTTGGAAAATTTACCTTATGTTACTGTTTTATGTAGATCAACCAAATGGCCACAGCCCCTGACTCACAGCGTCTAAAGCTGCTGAGAGAGGTGGCAGGGACACGAGTGTATGATGAACGCAAAGAGGAGAGTATTTCCCTCATGAAGGAGACAGGTAAACGCTTTTGAATACCTTTCATTTTGTACAACCGTTGATTGGTAGATTTTAATTCATTAATGTTTTTAATTGTCTGTGAACAGTTTTGTTATTACATGACATCAGCTAGATTGTTTTGAAAAGGCTTTATAATGTGTATCTATATGTACCATGTTTCATTAGCCTTAGGTAGGATTTGTAATTTGTGTCACATGTACTGTCGCCTCACAGCAAGAATGTTCCTGGTTTAAATCCATTCCAGGGCTTTCCTTCCTGCAGCATTTTAGTTTCATTGTTTGTGTGGTCGTCAAAGCACTTAAATGTATAGAAAAACGTACTCCATTTCCACTGTCTTATAGCAGTACTGTCAGATTTCCATCACAGTCACAGTTGTGCATGACTGTAACACATGGCATTGAATTGTTTCTGTAACAGAAGTACGGCTTAATTTTGTATACCTTTGGTGAAGGAGTTATAAAGAGGAAAAACCTGAAAACAATCCACTGTGTGTTTTCCTCAGAGGGGAAGCGAGAGAAGATCAATGAACTGCTGAAATACATCGAGGAGCGTCTGCACACCTTGGAAGATGAAAAGGAAGAACTGGCTCAGTACCAGAAGTGGGACAAAATGAGAAGAGCTTTGGAGTACACAATCTACAACCAGGAGCTGAATGAAACCCGTGCCAAGCTGGATGAGGTAATAAAGTTGTGAAAAACGTTGAAGTACACATGCAGAAAAAAAACACAAAACATAGACTTCTCTGTATTTTGATGCAGGCGTAAGAATGTAACGCAACCCATGTTGCAACCCAGTTGCATTATTTATGCAGTAAAACACGAGTTCTATTGTCCTAGACATCATTATAAACTTAATTAAATGTGAACAAATGCCAGTATCAAGTAGACTTTCCTGCCTCAGTAACAAGACTTTTGTACTTCGTTTGGCTCTTTTAATAGTTGTCCACCAAGAGAGAAACCTGTGGAGACAAGTCCAGACAACTGCGTGATGCTCAGCAAGATGCCAGAGACAAAGTGGAGGTAAAGAAACAAAAAACCCCAACAACCATTGCTTGGCTTCAGTGAAATCTCATCACAGAATGATATTTAAGATGGTGTTACAGTATTTTGTAAATGACCGTGAATGATGTGTTTGTGCTCTGGTAATTGATCTACTTTGACATTTTTGTGTTTTAGTAACAAAGTCATTTGTTAATATTGTCAGGGTTTGATTTTGTTCAGTGCAACATTTTTTTTTGTTCCTAAAGGTACCATAACCACACACAAAAAATGCAATTAAATTTTACTTTTGTGTGTTATTGTCACATCTAATGTTTGTTGACCTCTTTTTTTTCTTTTTTTTCTTTTTCATATATCATTGCTTATCTAAATATATCACGCATTTTTAGATGGTTAATGTCATCAGCTCATCTTTGTGACCTTGTTAAATAAATGACGCATCATTTAGTCGCTGCAAAGGAAGTAGGTTGTTGTGGGGGTTTTTTTTGTTTGTTTGTTTTGTTTTGTTTTCCCCTCATACAATGATTCTTTATTTTGGCTCTCTTTGTGTAGGAAACGGAGCGTGTTGTGCGAGAGCTGAAGTCTAAGATCTCTGCCATGAAGGAGGAGAGAGAGCAGCTGTCGGCAGAGCGCCAGGAGCAGATCAAGCAGAGGACCAAACTCGAGTTGAAGGCCAAGGACCTGCAGGACGAGCTGGCAGGCAACAGTGA